TCTTAAATGTTTACAAATCTGTTTGTTCCAGATTTTTGCTAGAGAAGTGACAAAAATGCCACCAATCTGTTATTCCTGGAATCTACTCCTTGCTTCCTTTTGAAATCTGGGGCAATACTGCCCCTATCCAGTCTTTGGGTACTCTCCAACCTTCCTGAAACCTGTAAGAACTCTAGTTGCTGCTTCAGCCTTGTGGATCTTGACTCCGGCTTCTCCCCTGTGGGAAGAGTATTGATCCCTTCCATGCCACAGAGCTGTGTAAGGATCCAGGAAGTTGGGAAGGCACTGGGCACAGCTAAAACAGTCACTTAGGGTGGGAGCCTTGTGGATCCTTGTAAGAACAGCTCCAATACAGCACAGTAATATCCTGTAGCCCCCAAAGTGACGGCTACAAGAGGGACCAGACACCATATGCAATCACAGGCTGAACCTATGATCCTGGTCTTGCTGTTTAAAAGGCTTACAACAGCCCCACAGGAAGCTGGGCCAGAGCACAACAGAGATTGGACCCGTAGAGTTTTCTTCTCTCTCCCTCTTTCTCTTCCTCCTCCCTCTTTCTCATTTCCCTCTGCCCCTGAATCAGTGCTTTAGAGTCACTCTAACTGCATTAGCTGCTCAGGAAGCTGTCCCATAGGCAGTTCATGAGGGCAGAAGCTAAGAACCTGGGAGAACAGCCTGATGCCCAAGTTGCCAGCCTCATCCACCCCCTGCCTCCCACAAGGTGTCTGGACTTGGATGGGGCTGTGCAGAGGACACACCGCCCACAAGAAAATGGGAAGAAAATTTTCCACTCCTCTCCTCAACCCGTAGGAACCCCCTCTGGACTCAATCATCCTTGATAAATGCAAGAATGAACTGAAATAACCCACCCTCTGCCAAGAGGGGGTCATGCCCACAAAAATTCTTGATAACCTTAAAGTCTCGGGATACATACAGCAATTATTGTGTTAGCTACAATTTTCCATCTTGTTTCTCTCTCCCAAGAACAAATGAAGCTGCTGAAGGTTCACAGACATTGATTAAAGGTATGTGCAAAGATTTAGACATGAGGATGTTCACTGATGCTGTCTATTATAGCAGAAATTGGAAACAACCTATATGGCCAACAGCAGAGGGTTGTTTAAATACATTATGGTATATCCATACAATAGAATACTGTGCAGGTATTAAGAATCATATTGTCAGAGAGCAGATGGAATGACATTCACAACATATTGTTAAAAGGAAAAAGCAAGTTACAAAAGCAGAATGTTATACAACAAAGAGGGAAATTTTTCAAAAGATATGTTAACAGTTATTGCCACTGGTGGAATTATGAATGGATTTTTAAATTTTCTTCTTTCTTTGCTCATATGTGTTTTCCAATTTTTCTACAGTGATGTGCACTGCTTTTGAAATAAGGGGGGGGCAATAAAACTTATTTTTGCTAGCCAGGAAGAAATAGGAAAAGCCCTCTCTTTCAAGGCTGTCTTCTGGCACCTTTTTTGCCAGATGGATATGAAGCCGGCTCAGACCCCGCTGTCCAACTTGCCCAGAGCCCCTCTGGGCAGAAGTTCCCTTGCATCCCAGCATCCGCCTTGAGACAAGTTACTAAAAATGGGACTGTCCCAGCCAACCTCTCACTCAAAGTACCAAGGGCCACTTCAGCCCAGAGAAACGGCAACTCCAGAGCCCTGTGGGGTTTTGAAGCAGAGCAGCAGCCCTAGCTTGTCAGAGGAACCTCCCTCGCTCGTCCCGGCTGCCTGCCGAAGGTTTGCAGACAGCTTCCTTTCCACCCCACAGGAGGAGACAGGCAGATGAGTCATAGCACTGGCTCAGATTAAAGGAGTATTATTGTGTTAGCAGAAATGGATCTATTTTATTATCTGTTTCTTGACACCTTACAAACAGATATGTTTTTCCCACCAGACAGGCAAGTTCCTTAAAAAGCCAACGATTTCGTTAGCTGAAGCTAAGAAATGACCAATAAGAGTTAGCAACTCGCGGGTCTGAAGAGCAGCCAGGCTGAAAAGATGTAGTGGAAACATTGAGGAAAGTGGTTTATAACCCTCAGACTCTAGATTCAAGTCTGTGAAGTGATGCCATACTTCTAAAAATATGCAGAGGAACTACGGAAATCCTTTCCTCTTTTCTAAGAGCTTTTTCTCTCTTTCTTTTTTTAAGAAATATGCTAGGATGGGTTTGCAAAGGAGATTCACCACCTCAGATTTCACTGTTTTCACAGAGGTCGTGGGATACTATTTTAAGGACTTCCTTCTCTTATACAGATTTTTCCACACTGGGAGGACAGATAAGGTATGTTTCACTAATGTTCCTCATTAAACAGACATGCGTGCCAGCAGTCATTTCCCCTTGTCTTGCTATCCCATGACAACAGACTGCATCTCATAGGAAATTGGAACGGAGACCTTATTTAGTTTGGATCTCTCTTCTCCATTGTTTAATTTCACATTCAATTTTTCTTTCTATGTCTGCCTCCTTTTGCAGAAATACGCTATGACTGAATATAGGAACAGAGAAATGCATAAGTGTTGTTTATCTGAAAACTCACCTCATAGATTTTTCAGGAGCACTTTGACCAGCGCCACTCCCCTAACCGCCCCCACTCCTCCCCCTCGCAGCATTTTATCTCTTGCAGAAATGTACTCATTACTCAGTGAAGATCGAATGACTGATGGGCTTGTATGTGTCTTAAACGTGCGCTCCCAGTACTGTGTTCACTGTTGATCAAGTTCCAGTAGATCTTTTATGGCTGTGATGCATAGATGCCTCAGTGGCATTCCTGTCTTCCTCGCTCTTCAACCCATATCACCTGCCCATTGAAACAAACAAACAAAAACAAAAAAACTTCCACCAAGTGCCAGGAAAGGAGGGCTAAAGGAGCAGAGAAAGTTTTACATTTCCTGTTGTTGAATCTCGGCTTGGCCTTGAGAGGAAGCTGGATGCCTTTTCAATCCAATATGCTCTGTTCTCTGACGCTATCATCGTTGTTTATCCTTAAGACTGCCAAGCTATCATGGCAAACTTATAAAATGATCCCAGCTATTCTTTGAGTATCAACTTTTATCCAAATGTTGCTGTTAACTTTTTTCTTCTTGTTTAAAAATGTGATTTTAAAATATTTTGTTTTTCTAAATGGGATCCATTAGATCTAAGAACTCATGTTCTTTCCATTTATTAAACAGTAACTGTGTGCCAAGCATTGGGTAATAGCTTCCACACTCATTATTTCGTTTACTCCCTTACAACCACCCTATGAAGGAGATGCCAACACATGAGGAAACTGAAGGAGGTTAAGCCATTTGCCCAAGATCAAACATCTAGTATGGGGCTCTTTTGACTGTTCCATGGAAATCCATCCAACTTCTGTCAACTATAGTCCCTGAGTTTGGCCATCCAAAAAACGTTTTCTGAGAACACAAAGTGGAGCTGTATTTGCACTCTGTAAAGCCCACCCATTCACTGAAGGAGGCAGGACCCAGGTAGCCCAGAGGCCAAACTCAGTTGTGACACCATACCTTACCGGTTATGAGCAGGTCTGGACCTCAAACAGCCCTGATTTCAAGTCCCAGTTCAGGCACTTGCTGGGCCTGGGACCACAGGAAAGTTATCTACTCTGAGACCCAGTTTCCACACCAATAAAATGGGGACAACAGTACATATAGGTTGAATTCTATGAAATTGCCAACTTCCAACCATTTTTAACCTCCAAAAAAGCATTTTCAAATTGTTCGACCTAAATTCTTCATTGGGTCATCGTACAGATTAAACGAGTGCACATAGGAAACAATAAATGGCACTTTTTAGTAGACTTTCTCTTCCTGATTTCATTTTGCTCAGGTCAATAAAGTTAGTCTGCATTCTCTGTGTGCACTTTATATGCAGCAAAGCCGGCCTGAGGTTAAGTGTTGGAGCTGATAATTCAGGGAGACAATAAGACTGTGTAGATAATCAAGAATTAACAACAAAGGATCTCCTGCGGTCTGACTGCTCCTGCCCCCTAGTTTAGTCTCTTACTTACTAAATAAATTTACAAATTCTTTTTTTAGGAAGTGGAAGGTAGGGGGATATTGAGGAAGTTTAGCGCTCTACGTTACAGACAAAGAAAAGGTTTTAAAATCAATTCTTGCCTCTCCAGTGGGGGCCTCACGTGGCCGGGCTCCTCGACTGGCAGGGCGGGTCCTGCCCTCGATGCGAGCTAGGGCTCCGAGCCCTCGGAACCGGCTCCACCGCGCTTGCCCAACCCGCCCCGCCCGCGCCAGGAGAAGAACTGCCAGAGTTAGCATTATCTGCCGGGTGGTGTTTACTTCCTCGCTAGGTGCCAGGCCCTGCTCTTGGCCCCTCACAGGCGTTACCTGACTCCCCCACAACATTCCACACAAAAGGGGACTCTCATTTTCTCCATTTTCCAAGTGAGGAAACACAGAGGGTCTGTCACTCGCCCAAGGTCTCGGACTGGTGGAGTCGGACTCGAACTCCGGCAGCCCCAGGACTCCCACTGGGAGCCTCTCCTTTTCCTACTTCGATAGAGGCGCTTTTTCGCCTAAGAATCCTCCAGACTTGGCCACACGCAAGGGAAGGGGCCTCGCCGACGCCCACGACCTCGCTGAGCTCCGCAAGTTCAAGGCTGCGGGCGGCCGGCGCGGGGCGCGGGTAGGAGGAGCGGCGCCGCCCCCGGGGTATTTAACCTCAGTCTGGAGCCCTGGGGGCGCGGGGCGCGGGACGCGGGACGCACCCGCTCCTCCCAGCTCGCGCCTCCCCTGCCTCCTCCCCGC